TTGATAGTGTAGTGAAGATTCTGGATTGGCACCAAGCTCTCCAGATCTGGGGTCTGTGCATAGCCTTGCTACAAAGTTCTGAACCAAGTAGGTGGTGCAAAATGGCCCACAATTCTACTACATCCACTCCAGCCTCACTCTCTGTCACTAGTCTTCTACGACAACCGCGGAATCGGGTCTCAGTCCACACCTCCTGTGAAGGAAAAACCTGCTCGACCAAAGGGTGCCGCCGAAATATCGCCGTTAATTATGTGATCAGAGCGTGTTGCCGATGCCGACTGTCGTCTCACTATCGACCCACTCAAAAAAATGAGTCGATGTAGCCTCGAATGGGTTGAGGTCTGCGACCTTTGGCCATCTGTTCCCGATTCATGACAACATTGGTCGTCATCCAATGCCGCCACTGCCTCCGCCGTATCGTCAGTTAAGCTCTTCTAAGCCCGAACCCGGTGTGTGTGTATGCGCTCATTATCATGACTTTCTCATGCTGCTCTTTATGTTTGTACAGCGTCGTTTTGTCGATATGTGTCTCTATTCTTTCCGTGCGTGCCGTAGCGTTTCCCTAGTCAAACAATGCGACCGAGATTGCTGAAATTTTATTGACTTTGTGTCGCTGTCGCCGTCGTTGTCGTCGTCGCATCGTCCGTCCGTCCGTCGTGTGGTGGTCGCTGGCGCCATCAAATCACTCTCACCCCATAGTCCCCCCTTCACTTTCGTTCAATGTTGTTGAATTATTCTTGGAATTCCGGACGACATTCCACTTCGTTCAGCCTTTGCCAATCCCAGTGGAACCCAAAAAAAAGCCACATCACCCCTCGCTTGCCATCGGAGAAGATTTAATGCGAGACATTCTTGCCTTGTCCTTCNNNNCTGTCGCCGTCGTTGTCGTCGTCGCATCGTCCGTCCGTCCGTCGTGTGGTGGTCGCTGGCGCCATCAAATCACTCTCACCCCATAGCCCCCCCTTCGCTTTCGTTCAATGTTGTTGAATTATTCTTGGAATTCCGGACGACATTCCACTTCGTTCAGCCCTTGCCAATCCCAGTGGAACCCAAAAAAAAGCCACATCACCCCTTGCTTGCCATCGGAGAAGATTTAATGCGAGACATTCTTGCCTTGTCCTTCGTACCATCCATCACTACTCTAATCTGCCGGCCTGCTTTTTCTTTTCTAAGCGATCCATATTAACTACTAGAAAAAGGCTAATTATTCATGTCCGACCCAGTTTTAGTCGTCTTCCATCATTCTGGGTCATTTTCTTTTATAGTTCAGAGCCATTGATCCCCTTTTCCTAACGGCTATCCCTCTCTGTTAGTCCCTTTTCTCACCTCCTGTCGTCAGCAACTCTTCATTTTCTCGGCCCACACGAGTTTTTTTCTCAGTCACTTCTCAACGCCAAGTCCTAAAAAAAGGTTCAGCCAAATGATCAATCATCAGTTTACCTACGTCAGTAGCCGATCAATTCATCGATTAGTCGATTGATCGATTGGCTCCAGCAATGGCTTTAATTGTGGTTTCTATGCCTTTACGATTTCATGATCCCTTTTGGGGAAGTTTGATCCTTCCTACACAACCATACAACCTTTCGGTCTCCCAATCCCGAGAACGAACCGAATGGAAGGGATTTTTCTCTTTGTGCGTTACCAGTACGTGATTTCCGCCTTCCAGGTAGTATCGCCCGTACACCCACCCCTCACGGATCCGTTTTCTTCCCATTCTGAAAGGGGCTAGTCCCCATTGAATAGAATTCCTTTGCGCTAATGAATCCGTGAACAACTTCAAAGAACGACTGGTATTTTTCAGAAGCATATTTACAATGTTCAAAGGCATTCAGCTCTTCTTGTGTTTATGAATGACTGACTGCAGAAGTGGGTGTTGTCGGTCGGTGTCGTTGTTTTGCAAATATCCATTCCCATTTTCACCCCACTACCCACTACTACTATCCATTCTGCCAGTCTCAGTTCGAGTCAGCTTCAGTCGGAGCCATGTTATGGGCCGAATCAGAGCTCTCCCTTTCTCTCGATCCCCTCTGCCATTCGGCACGTCGACCACTTCATGAATATTCAATAACGTATCATAGCCATGGCTTGTCATGCATACCCCTTCTACTAGTTGCTTTCAATTTCGTTTTTTCTTCTTGGAATCTTAAAAGTTAGTTTTTTTTTCTCCTATATCCAACATGTGGATCGTTCTCGACTGAGTTCTTAGTTAGGACTCAATTTAGTCCATTAATAGATAATACCCTTCTCACGTGCAAAATTCAGAATGCTCTTGCACAGATCTATTTCCAACGCACCAAAATAAATCTTAGGGCCAATGATGTTTTGCCTGTAATCAAAACGCTTTTTAAGACGTTAAAAGGGGTAATGTGAGTCCTGGCCATTCATACTTAGCGAGAGATGGGTATGGGTACTTACGTGCGTCCGAGGGTGCGCGCGGCAAATTGCGCGCGAAGTGCGTGGTGATTCAAACGACTATGGCGCCTATCATTGGGGTCCAAACTCGAAGTGGAGTAGTTTAGTAGGGTCAGCTGATACAGATAATCTACTCTACTTCAAATTTGGGCCCCAATGATAGGCGCCAGAGTCGTTCGAATCCCCACGCACTTCGCCGCGCAATTTGCCGCGCGCATCCTCGGACGCACGTAAGTTCCGTCCCCCAGCGAGAGATAAGCGCCGTATCAATGGCAACGTACGTGATTGCGTATTTCCACGTTTTAACAGGTATGCTCAGGTAAAGTGCAACCCATGACCTGCCAGCTCATGTTTATTCGTGGTAGACTGTTCGTTGCGATGATTGCGACCTTGTCTATAAAATCAGTTCACCCCTCCCCCCCTCCCCTTGTAAATTCTATGTAGGACTTTTTGTTGTTTGTTCCCATAGGATGATTCGTCCTTGTGAAAATCAATAAATCCACATATTGCGGAGTGATAGAGCATCAAGAATAAAACATTAGATACTACCGCATGCACTCCTACTGAAACAGCATTGCTGGGGATATTTGTTTACCTATCCGCTGTGATAAACATAAACATTCAAGCGGCATCTCAAGCAAAGATTCTTGAGAATCCGTTCTTTCAATCCTCAACAGTTATCGCTTTTGCAACTTTTCTTGCTCCATATTCCTGGTCATTTTATTATTTCTAGACCGATTCTTGATTGGAACTGGTTGAAATATTGGTAATGTAAAATATAATTATCGCATATACGAGATATAAGCGGATTTACTTGCATTGGGTTTTGGTCATTTTACTATTTATTAATTTTATTTATCCATTGTTGACTTATTATGCTTATTTTTATTTACATCATGTTTTCAATTTTAGTAGCCTCTACTCCGTTTTTAGAGGCGACCCTCGTTTTGAAAACAAAACCTGCTCTAACGCCAACGCATAAGTAGGTCGTAGGAGCGCAGCGGCTGCGTTGCGGTTACCTGACATGGCATATCATGGTAACACCGTTTGACGGGTATTTTACATGTTACCGCAACTGTAATCATCCCAGACTAGGGTGAAACGCGGCGCAGAGATTTCCCTCTTCCAGTTCCCACCTACCACCTCCCACATACAACTTTTTGAAAGCGCCGGACTGGTGGGCGAGTACTACATAACTAACTAACCAGCAATTGACTGCCTAAATGCTGCTCATTAACTGCAACATTTCAGGTGAGACGTTTTTGCTAAACATTCGAACCTGTTCGCGAACAGGGAACGCGGGAAATTGACAGAGAACGAGTGTGTATTCTGCGTCTCTCACCTCGATCCAGTCACTCGCTATTTATTGATTTGGATCATCGGCGTGCCGCCAGCGTTTATAGTTCAGAAAAACGTGGCGTTCCACGGATAGTATAAACCTCCCGCCTCCCTTCATGTCGGTCACTGGTTTATCTGCCTTGTGTAATTGAATTAGCAACTTCCTGCTTAATTGTCATTGTGTTCCTTATGGGTAGAATAGATGCGAATAAAGTCGTACAGCGCTGAGATGATAATGTTAATGGGTGGTCGTAGAACAGGGTGGATCCGTCTATGCAATTACCTTGTCAAGTGGGTAAAGCTATTGAGATTGATCACCTCCCATTTTCTTTTGTTAGCCTCCTTAAAACTAGTCGTCTAGGAAACATTATCATCAATGTCAACCAACTCTTCGCTGTCCTCCAATGCTTAACCTCTTAAGTGTCACCAATCAGAGAGATTCGGATTAGTTTTTACTATTTTTCCATCTCCTTCAAAACCTTCATTCCTTTGGAGGGTCCTGAAACGATGTAGACGTTGCAAAGAGCCTTGCGATGCGGATTTTACGAGCGAGTTTACGGCTTCATTTATCCTCAGCGTTTTTACTTCCAACCAATTCTGAATGGTAGTTAAGGGTATGCTCAGACCGGCTATTGAAGATAGCATTGTGGGTGGATGGGTTGTGGGTCTAGACAGGTGTCACCATGGCCTTGGCCATGTTTCCTGCAACTCTCCGCGCCATTTCATCAAATAAACTCGCATTTCGCCCCGCCCACACGGCTGCGAAGACACCTTTCCGACAGGCCACGTCAATGTGGTTTGCATCCGTTTGTTCAGATGTTCATCTCGATTGTAATTCGTCATTCACTATTCCTTGTGTTTCTATTTGGTTAGACTTTTACTCTCCCGCTCGAAGTTTTTTGTTCGATTTCCGTTCGAAAAGAATTTCCTACTTCCTCCATTCCGTAATTGTTGGTGTCATATTTTTGTTGCCGTCGTCGTCGTTTTCGTCGTCGTCGTAATGCCTCCTCGAAAGAGATCTCTTTCTCTGTGTGTGTGGTCCCAAGTGCCCGTCAGCTTCCCTCGCAGTAGTGGGATGGTTGTGTTTGGCAGCCCGCCCATTCGATGTCGGGGTGCAGACGGGCAGAGTTCGTCGTGCATTCGAGGGAAATGAGGCTCGGCCACGAGGCACACAGAGGAATCGATCTCTAGGCGAGTTGTGGTGCTGAGGAGGCTGAGCTCTCTCTATTGCAGGACTCACACAAACCCTAATGGCCGGCGAGGGCGACCCACCGCCCGACCTCAACAACCGGGTATGTTGATTAATCTATTTTTGCTTAATTTATTTCTTATTTTATTTTTGGCGAGTTATTTTTGTTTGGCTTCCCAGTCGCGTGTTACACACCTTATGCCTGCCGCTTTACTTTTACACCAACGAAAATGAATTTCAGAGTGGGATAACACTTTTCTATTTAGATTTGTCCTGGCTTTCCAAGGACGCGTCTTTACTTATTGTCACTTATAATGACAGCTGTTTTTTAATATGAAATCGTGGATTATTAATTATTATTTCAGCAGGGCGAGGGTAGTGCGAGTGCGAGTTTTCTTCGAGCCGCTCGTGCCGGGAATCTCGAGAAGGTGTTGGAACTGTTGCGCGGCGGAACCGACATCAACACATGCAATGCGAACGGTCTGAATGCTTTGCATTTAGCATCGAAAGAAGGTCACAGCGAGGTCGTACGTGAATTACTAAAGCGGGGCGCTCATGTTGACTCTGCTACAAAGGTGAGCATTAATGATAATTCAGGATTTTTGAAGAGACAGCGAAAGGTATTGACGTGCTAGGAAATGTTCCCAAATTTATCATTCATTTTTGGTAGTGAAAATGAAAAAACAAAACAAAATAATGTCCCTTGGAGACCCATTTACGTGGAATGTGACCAATTTCATTGGAATGTGGTCCAATCATGAAAATAACGAGGTCGTTTGTAAGATAATTTGTAGCCGTAACGAGGCTTGCTTTTGTGTTTCTGGAGTAGTAGCATATGCATGTTATTTTAGATCGTTTTTTTTTTGAGCGTCATAGCCCCTCAATACCTATTTATAGTTCAAAAGAATTATTTACCAATACATTTGACTAGAAAGCTGTTTCAAACCGCTACTGGTACTAACAAGGTTTTCTCATAATCTTTAGCGAACTGAAAGGTGTGGTATTTTCGATATATAAATGATTTTGCATAATTTCAGAAAGGCAACACCGCTCTGCATATCTCATCGTTAGCTGGTCAATCATTAATAGTCACAATTCTCGTCGAAAATGGAGCCAACGTCAATGTTCAGTCACTCAACGGGTTTACGCCGTTATATATGGCAGCACAGGAGAATCACGAAGATGTAGTCCGATTCCTCCTATCACACGGTGCTAATCAAGCGCTTTCCACTGAGGTACGGTTCACTTCGATTATCTATGGCTTATTTGTTTTCGCTTGACCTTTGTCGAGTGCGTGCGTGCTGCAGTAATTTTCCACACGACGAGGTTTTTGTGCCATGCATTGGGATATAGTGACTATGGAATTGTGAGAGACCGAAACAACCGAGCCCATTATTTTGAATGTTACGGTGGCGAGAAAGTGATGAACTTTTGCTTCCGATGTTGTTGTAAAAAAACCGCGCAAAAATTACTGTTAGTGAATTCCTTCGGATTAGTTTAAAGGGTCGAAGGGTTTGGACGCAACCGAGGACGAAATCAAGACGTTATAATTCATTCTCAGGGCCACTTATAGTGGTCTTTGCGATGACTCGCAATATCTCTTGGTGAAGTGTTTTAGAATGACCCCTAAGAGCTGGTTTCAAAATGACCGTCAGGCGTCCGAAGATCGCAACTGATTAATTACTACCCTCTAGTACACTGTGCCTACGAAATATTCGTTGCAGCGTCACAGCCAGCAATATCGAGCAAGTGTAAAGAACGAATATCCGACTCAGCTTGCCAATGAGATATCGAGATGGATTGAAATATCCGTAAACTCGACCAGATGCACCTTAGAGAGCGACTTCTGGAACTGGGGATATTGTTGACATAAAAAACTTGGCGCAGCGGATCATTTCTTTGTGGCCAGATGTGTTTCATTAAATGTTGGCGTAAACATAGAAGCTCTACGGCTACCATTTGCAACCTACTGTCTTCACATTTTTGGTTTACAATATAAATTTTTACTTTATCTTTTAGCGCGAGTGCATTTAGATCTTTCCCGTTTTCGTGGTTTATGAGGTCATGGACACAAAAACTAATACTATGTTAAAATCCAAGGAACTGTCAAATCTTGGGTGAAGTTTTTTGCATCGATGATGGTGGGATGCCATTCATAGAATAACATAGAAACGACTTTATGTTTCATAATTACCCCCATTCATGTGCGGCTAGTGCTTTCCATATTAGAGGGTTACCAAAAGGAAGCATCGCTGGGGACCTCTAGCTTGCTCGACGCCTAATTTTAAGCCATGAACTGTCATGAAAACGAATTTAGCGAAAAATGACAGCTCTGCTGCTATGCTTCCAGAAAAACTTGCTGAAAAGGAACATGCTAGCTTCATCCTATTCATCGTTACATACTCTTTTTGTTTGCATGTGTTTCTGGACTTTTCCTTTTCAAAATTTTCACGTAGCGCCACTTTAGGATGGCTTCACTCCTCTAGCGGTTGCACTACAGCAAGGTCATGATCGAGTCGTCGCAGTGCTTCTCGAAAACGACGCCCGTGGAAAAGTCAGACTACCGGCTCTCCATATCGCCGCCAAAAAGGATGACATTCGAGCGGCAACGTTATTACTTCAGGTACTGCTGACTTATAGGATTCAGTTTGTGTGTGACCTCGTATATTCCAAATGACAAGAGGGGATATTTGCGTGAATGCGATAGGGAATAATTACACGACCATTGCTACTTATGTTTATTGCGTGCTTGTAGAATGAGCACAATGCTGATGTGACATCGAAATCCGGATTTACACCGTTACATATTGCTGCTCATTATGGTAACGAAAATGTCGCCCAACTTCTCATCGATAAAGGTGCTAACGTCAACTACCAAGCCCGACATAATATCAGGTATATACTACTGCTATTTGATTGATTCATATGTATTAGTTGTAAAAAGCAGATTACCAGGGAAACTTCTTTAAAGCAGATTTACGCAACTGTTCTACCTTAGTACAAATGAGCGCTCTTATGGGTAGCCACAATAGGTAGGGTGACATTCGTCGAGGTGATTGGAGGGTGTCAATTTTTAGTGCAGATAAGAAGTTTTTCACGAGAGTTCGGCGCTGTGTTGGCAGGTTGACTCATGTCATAGATCTAAGTTTGTTGACATATTTAAGACCTACACAGTCACATTCGCCAGTCATTCAAGCGCATTTTTTGGAATACCCCGCAGAATAGCATAAGAGCAGTGCTGAACTAACTTGGCTGGGTTACATGCGAGGCATTCTGCATTGCATATTTTTCTTATTTCTTGATTATGGTATTCATTGCTCATAGATTTACACGTGTGTTGAGGTTTGTGCTGGAAGAAAGGTCACAGATGGGTGCCGCAATTAAATATGCATAGCATCCAGATGGGTGCTAGGCCTTCTTGTGTTATCCAATAAACGAGCTTCCCAAATCTTTGTAGTCCCCATGGTAGAGCTTTCATCAACACATTTCCCGTACAGAAGCCATCTACAACTCATTCATCAAGAATGCGTTTGATTTGCCGATGGATGGGATGGAGCGTGTAGCGCTCGGTCAGGCGGAAGTTAGCCGTTTAGCTGAGCCTCGGGTAGCATCGATTTTGGGTGGTTTGGCCGCGAATTTAACGACGTCAACCCAGTCCTCGGAGAACAATCAATCTACTCGTTCCTGCTCGAAACCACCAGGGAATGGGATTCTGGCGTAGGGATGGCACAAAAAGGGCGTGCACGCCTTTTTTTTTCTCCGACGGGCAAGTTGGCTTGCACGAAATTCATGCGTGGCATGGTGTTTATTCAGAGGATTGGTTGGTGGTTAAAGTTCGCGGCGAAGAAAATGCGTTTTTTTTTTTTGCCTGTCTGTCGCAAAAAATTTTTGAAATAAAAGTGAAGGTTTTTTTAGCGAGAAAGCTGAATGTGGCCTGTCTCATACGGCTCATTCCAACGGCTGTGTACCCGATTTAATTATTCATTTATTACGGCATCGTAAATCTACCGTAACTTTCTACGACCTATGAGCATACCCTCAAGGAAGTGAGCGCTGCGTGTTATAGTTTGCTCGCGAGAATGAATCGAGATTGCCATTCGATGTGGCGAGATGATGGGCAGACGTTCAGTAATCGGATAGCTCTGGGAGTCGCGGTTCCCTTCCCCTTCTCAAATTTGGAGGAGATCGGCATTAAATTAGTTTTTACGGATATAGTTGGAGCACTCTTCTCCTATCTGCGTCTTTGATAATTCAAAGAGGTTGATGACTGGATTCTCTTACAGGATTGGATGAATTACTGACACTTATTTACTTTATTTCAGTCCACTTCATGTTGCAACAAAATGGGGTCGTACGAATATGGTCGAACTTCTTTTGAAGCATGGAGCGATCATCGATTCACGGACAAGAGATCTACTTACACCTCTTCACTGCGCGTCACGAAGTGGGCACGATCAAGTAGTCGATCTTCTGCTCGAAAAAGGCGCTCCGATCAGCGCAAAGACAAAGGTTTGCTGTTTTTCTTGAAGCTGTGGAATGACCAACTCGCTAAATGAAGGTAGATGGGGTGATTGCCTTCTCCTGGGAACATTTCTGCATCGTTAAATGGACAGCTGCAGGCACTAGAGCGCACTTATCGTGATGAGAAGTGGCCCCGTTTACGCTCTCCAACAAAGGACTGGGGCTTCGTTGGGGAATGAGTATTTTGTTGAATGGAGACAGATGGGCATAAGTGCATCAACCGGGTGGCCTAAGCTCCAATGAAGAACTTGTTGAGGGATGGCATTACCTTGTGATAACAACTACTTGATTTGTAGTCAGTCTTGAGCAGTCAAGTAGAGTGTAAGCATGAAAAGGGAGATGTCTTAGGCAATTTGACATGGAAATGAGCGTAGGAGAAAATCAGACGTTGAAATAGAGGCATAATTAACGGGTTCTGAATGAAGTCTTTCTAAAATTTTTTTCTGAGTAAAATTTCGGAATGTGAACAACTTAGTTATGCTCTAGAAGTTGCTGCTGAAGCCAAGTGTGGCCATTAGAGATGTCATAAAAAGTCACATTAGACTGGGGCGAGTAGGTAGTATCGTGCAGGGACTAAAGCTGGGGGAGAGAGATATAGGAGAGAGAAAGAGTCGTAAATCGTGTTGGTCAGAAAAAGGACAGTTTCCTATTTACAACCAGTTACTCATCCTCCTTTACACTGACGTAAAAAATAACGAGCCGGTACGGGCTGAGCTCATTACTATTATACTTACGACGTAGAAACTTTCCAAGGGCAATGGCGGTGTACTCAATGTCTGATCCTAAATTCCTGTCATTTCACTTCATCTAAAATCTTCTGATAATAGTAATCTGAATTCCGTCTCTTCACGCAGACTTTTGTTTTAGAATGGCTTGGCCCCACTGCACATGGCCGCCCAAGGTGATCATGTCGATTCGGCACGAATACTGCTCTATCATCGAGCCCCAGTCGATGACGTCACGGTGGACTACTTAACACCGCTCCATGTGGCAGCTCACTGTGGACATGTCAGGTAAATTTAGCTACTTAGTGTTGCAATCATGAAAATTTTCGCAGTCCCCCAATTCTGCAAAAATGGAGGCACGAATGGTGGGAAACCTGTCTTGCATATGCGGTCGTTCATTAAAAACCTATTGGGTTTTTTCCCGTTTTTGAATCCCGGAAAACTCTTGAAACTGTTGCCTATTACTTAAAACAGTCATAAACTTTTAAGGGTTGCAAAACTATTACTGGATAGAAACGCGGATCCAAATGCTCGAGCATTGAACGGTTTTACACCGTTGCATATAGCGTGCAAGAAGAACAGGATCAAGGTAAGGAACCGTTTTGTTCTTGTCATTTCCACGAGTCTAAGAGGGAAGGCTAGTAATGAAATTGATTGGTTCCAGGTTGTCGAATTGCTTCTGAAATATCATGCGTCAATTGAAGCAACAACAGAATCTGGTCTATCACCCCTTCACGTCGCTTCTTTCATGGGAGCTATCAACATTGTCATTTATTTACTTCAGCAGGTGAGCAAAGTTGAACTAGAATCATAGTGCAGTTCTAATGGTACTTCTGAGAACTGGTTTGAGCTGTGGGCAGTGTGACATTGCAACATTCGCGAAGAAGGCTCCAAGTGTTTAATGGCTTTGTTAATACGAAACAACTTTGCAGTAACCGAAGTTTTGTAGTTAACGCTCCCAAAAATACCTAGCTAGTTGCCTTATAAAGCTCTAGCGAATGACCATGGACAATTTAGGCTTGAAAATATAGTAATAAAGTGAATTGGACATATCGGTGTTGATTGATTAATGGGCTCAGTTTACTAAGTAGAAAATTTTAATTTATTTTATAATTTTGGCTAATAAGCGCCGAGCTAAAGAAGGATATAAATAACACAGCGCTATCTTAAGGGTGCAAATCCGGATGTTGCAACCGTACGTGGAGAGACACCTCTACATCTGGCAGCACGAGCGAATCAGACAGACGTTGTCCGTGTTTTAATTAGGAACGGAGCCAAGGTGGGTGATCGGAATTGCTTGTAGAAATGTTTGCCCAAAAGCAAATCTCTCTACAACTGTCAGCTTATCACCTAAACTTCCATGGTTCTTCAAAATTAATCTTTAAGGTGGATGCTCAAGCACGAGAACTTCAAACACCTTTGCACATTGCAAGTCGGCTGGGTAATACGGATATTGTCGTTCTTTTGCTTCAAGCCGGTGCAAATCCGAATGCCGCCACCCGTGATCAGTACACTCCACTGCATATTGCTGCGAAGGTTTGTGATCGATTCGTTGGTTTAGTTGCGCTCCTATTCTAAGATAATATAAAAATTGAACATGGGAAACAGGGATGTCGATTTCAAAAATAGGCTTCTAGCGAAATATAAAACTTCAGGAAGGCCAGGAAGAAGTGGCAGCTATACTACTTGACCACAATGCTGAAAAGAATGTGCTGACGAAAAAAGGATTCACCCCTCTTCATCTAGCCAGCAAATACGGAAATGTCGAGGTATACATGCGAGTGTCGATGGTAGTAGCTCATAATGGTGATTTACGGTCATAATTATAGGTAGCGAAACTGCTGTTGGAACGTGGTACACCGGTAGACATCGAAGGTAAAAACCAAGTCACGCCTCTGCACGTAGCCGCTCATTACAATAACGATAAGGTGAGTTGAACCGTGGTATATTTTGTAATATAATGCCCTCGAATATAACTTTTCAAGGTCGCAATGCTTTTGCTCGAACACGGAGCATCTGCCAAGGCTGCGGCTAAGAATGGTTACACACCATTGCACATCGCTGCTAAAAAGAATCAAATGGAAATCGCAGGGACACTGCTACAGTATCATGTTAGTTTCCTTTCTATTTCCTGAGTGAACGTTTTACGCTTTACTTCGAAGTGGTGCTTGGTGCTCCAATAAAAATAGCAGAAAGCGCTATAGCTGCTTTAACGCCTTGTTTTTTGCTTAGCTGTAAATAGGATCCGCACTGCTCCCGTTGGTCCCCTTTTTCGATTTACTGAACACCACTTTTAAGGTCTGAGCCATAAAGTTCTTCTATAGCCGTAATTGTGAAAGTCATTTAGTTCTAAATGAATCGGGTCTTGAAATGAGCTTGTGAAAGGACCAAAAATAGTTGTTCACTTTTTTTCAAGTGAAGTAGACATAGGAAGGCGGTTAATAAGTAGAGTTGTATAATGAAACTTCAAAGTCGTAGAAAGCGATGAGTAAAAAAGGGGCAAGACGTTTGTGCCAGTGTGCCACTTGGAAGCGTATTTATTTGCCTAACTGCTGGTGAATTTTGCTCAGAAGGGGTCATTAATGTGAAGAGGGCTGCGATTCAAATGGTGACTGTAAATATACGCTATTTACTCTATGATATGCAAAAATGAGTTTAGGCTGATCCAAATGCAAAATCTCGAGCTGGTTTCACGCCTCTGCACTTGGCCGCTCAGGAAGGTCATCGCGAAATGTCTGCTCTCCTTATCGAAAATGGATCTGATGTAAGTCCTACACTTGTAGTTATGTTTTTTTAACCCAGTAGGTAAAGAATTTCACGTCCGTAAAAACGTTCGGATCACTTAATAGAAGATCTGTAATTTTAGGTCGGTGCTAAGGCTAACAACGGTCTGACAGCCATGCATTTGTGTGCGCAGGAAGATCGCGTACCAGTCGCTGAGGAATTGGTAGGTTCTATGATTCAGAACAAATACAAGCGAAAAGCCAATTAGTCAAGCCAAAAGGTGATGCCTTGCAGGTGAAACACAATGCCGATGTGAATAGTCAGACAAACGCTGGCTATACACCTCTTCATGTAGCTTGTCACTTTGGGCAATTGAATATGGTGAGGTTTTTTAAAGTTATACTCATGAAGACAACATGGCCACAACATGATTATGATGTGGTGACTTTCTTAAAGGTTCGATTCCTTGTTGAACATGGAGCAAATGTTGGCGAGACAACTCATGCGAGCTACACGCCATTGCATCAGGCCGCACAACAAGGTCACAATCATTGTGTGCGCTATCTCCTGGAACACGGTGCATCGCCTAATGCTCAAACAACGGTGAGAACTCTGACTCTTAAATACGACGGAATAATTTAACTTGTTTAAACTCTACAACGCTCATCTTCCAGAACGGACAAACACCACTCTCGATCGCCCAACGGCTAGGCTATGTTTCCGTTGTTGAAACATTGAAGACGGTGACGGAGACAACAGTCATAACTGAAACGACAACTGTAGCCGATGACCGCTATAAGCCACAGAATCCTGAAGCGATGAATGAAACAATGTTCTCAGAAAGCGAAGACGAAGGTGCCGCTGCAGAACATGAGGCTGCTACAGCTCACGTCAAGGTAATGCCTGTCCAATGTAATACTTCCCTTATCATCATTCGATAGGGCACCTATCTATGAGACAATTCAGTTCGGAGGAGAATACGCGTTCAAATTGGTATCGATTGGACGATTTTTGATATGACTCTATTTCCAGTAATTTGTTTTTGGGAAAATTAGGTAAAAAAGCCCTCGTTCAAAGGAGTAGACGAATGTATGAATTATACTTCTTTTGAAAAAATGGGCGCAATTTCTGAGCGCAGAGAATTCTTTGCTGAGCTTGCACTCTTTTCTTTTCGATCGATTTTTATGGAGAGGGTAAGCTGCGCTTTTTTGCTAAAATCCATGTTCTTCGTGCGGGGCTTGTGCAAAGTGCATTGCACTGATTAGATTAGACATTCAATAGGAGTTATTATACATCCATCACCTCTTTAGAAGCAGCATATGCATCCTCGAACACTAAGTAAACTCAATTATCCCGTTAAAAAGTGAGAAATATCAATGAACGCCGTCTTCCCTCATGCGGAGTTCCCATCAATTTCTGTTTTTTGTTATGCACTATTTCTTTGCATGTGATCCGATTCGTGTTCCATCGATGAAGACTGCCTTTTTCAGGACTTCTCCGACACACTTACACAAGGCTTGGCCGATTCAACGGGAGTGCACATGATTCACACCGGCGAACAGGTGCTGTATACTTTACGAGTCCTTCCAATTATCTATGCTGATTACTTGCTTTCATTTCAAATTTGACGTCATCCGTTATTAAGCAAACTAAATGCAAGATGATTTATGAAAAAGCTACAGACATCTGTCTGGAGTTAAAGTAAATCAATAGAGGAATTACGAGGACATAGTGCGGGCGTTTTGTTGCGCGCTTTGCTTGGAATGATGAAGTAGGTATTGAGTCTCGACGTCTGAACGAATA